ACATACATACATACATACATACATACATACATACACACACACACATCTTTGTACTAGGCTACATTTGTCTGCTATGTCCTGTTGAAGTGTGACATGATTTTTTTGTGTACAAACTAATACAGTATCAGAATTGTATACATTTACATTTCTCATCCAACCACAATTAAATTCACTCTATCTAGGAGGCACAATTTATTTGGATAGTATTTATTTTTTACAAGTTGGAATGAAAACAAGCAAAAATTAAATAACGTTAACGACTTTCTACTTCTTGTCTTTTTAAAAATGTAAGGAGTAGAAAGTACAGAGAATTGTGTGAAAATGTAAGTAAAAAGTACACTGAAAAATAATCACTCAAGTAAAGTACAGATGCGCAAAAATTCTACTTAAGTACAGTAACAAAAGTATTTGTACTTAGTTACTTTACAACTGTGAAACCAGTTTGTTGCATCTCTAAATATTTCAGTCATCATGACCTGTTTGGGATAGTAATATAAACACTGTTAACTGGGTCTTACCTGCACTGTCATAGTAGGTGAGGAAAGTGAGGCAGTAGAAGCCAGGCTCGTCTGGGCAGCTGACACGGTTATGGCAGTTGGGTTGATGACCTGGCTGGACAGCGTGGCGATGGTTCCCAGTGTGGTGATGGGAGTCACCAGAGAGGCGCTGGAGCTGTCTGCGGCCCCCCCTGCCAAGGCAGTGGACACGGTGCCAGTGACTGTACCGAGAGTGGTGACTCCTGGAGAAAATGAAAATAGAGAAATGAAAACAGAGAACACAACGCAAAGTGTAAAATACACAAGTCAATAAAAATAAACAAACTAAAACAGGTTATTTTACCAGTAGTCCCCTTCACAACCAGAGTGGTGACGGTGGGTTTAACAGCTGACACCGTTACTGGAGTAACAAGACGAACACCACCYACTGTGCTCATGGGCACAGTGCGCAGTATAGTGCCAGGCTGTCCGGGAGCACCCTTTAATACCACCTGGAAACAGGCCTTTCAATGTTAGTGCCTTTAGGTGCAACAGAAAACAACAACAGAAGAACAGTCACTGCACCTGTGTCAGTCCCTGCTGCCCGGCAGCCGTGGTGAGTTTGGGCACTGCAGTGATGATTTTACCAGGAGTTCCAGTAGTCATTACCTTTGTGGTAAGGATTGTAATGGGAGTTTTCATACCTGCACTGCTGGTTACACCTGAAAAGACAAAAATAAAAACATGTCTGAAATCTTTCCACACCAAATGTAGAAAAAAAAAGTCACTTTATGTAGATTGTTTAGTTCGCTTTGTTCAATCCCAGCACTCGTTTTGTCGTGGCATGTAATCAAACACTTTAGTGCAGACCTGTTGCTCCAGGTTGGGTCATGATAGCCGACATTGGGATGGTCTTAATGATGGTAGTGCCCTGCTTCGTAGTAGTAGGGGAGACCCCACTTATGTTGAGAATTGTGGGCTTATTTCCTGTGCCTCCTGCCTGGGACGTTGTGATGATTGTTGTGGGTTTTCCATCTGCAGAGGTCACCAGCTTCAGGATGGTGCCAGCTGGGAGGGGACCCTTAGTCTGAGAAGAAAAAAACACCCAATAAGCAAGGCATTCAGAAAACGCCACCTGGTGCCTGTCTCAGGAGTTTAAGGCTATCTCCTGTTTTATTTTCCTGAACTCATGCAGATAGCTGACCTGTATGATCTGTGTGAGAGGGTTAGTGGAAGCCTGGCCTGTGACAGCTGATGTCTGCACTGGCTTGGTTTGTACCACAGACATCATCTTGCCAAGGTTGGAGATCTGCCGACATAAGAGAGAGACTCAAGTTCACGAGTCGCTACAAAGCATCAGCACAGGGAGTTCAGTGGGGAAAGTAGACCATTGTGGCTTTGAGTCATTGCAGCCCTAACTGACCTACAGTCATGCAGATGACTAACATCATGCTTTGTTTTCTGATTCCTGCTCTCCAACAGCCACCATAGGCCAACCTATACATCCTCCCTTACTTAAGCTTATGTTGTCACTCTCTCATGACCCCAAAACAAGACACSCACACCAAGTGTGAAAATATATTTTACAATGTCTGTGACTGACTGCATGCATCTAGATGAGTACATTCAGAAAACAACATGGTAAATAGTTTGTATTTTCTTACCAGGGTGCCACTGCTGCCCATAGTGAGCGGACTCTTGACCAGGGTGATGGTCTTTGTGACTCCTCCCACTACAGTAGTCACCACCTGTGCCTGCTGAGCCACTGTGACGGCACCAGACTTGTGCACAGTGATGATGGGTCTGGTGGTGGTGGGAGAGGACGCGGTTGCTGTGCCCACCTGGGCCGCTGCTGTCTTCAACATCCGGGTGGCCGGGTTACTGACCTGCGAGCAAAAACTGGTCTCAGCAAAACGCACAGGCTGCACGCAGCATTGGGAACGAGGACGTTTGATTTGATGTGTACCATGACGGGAGAGGCCACTTTCACTGTGGTTGTGCCGGGGGAAACGGCRACTGTTTTGAGGATAGTGGCACCGGCAGGAACACCGAGGACAGTGCCTGCAGAAGAGGGYGGGATCTTCTGCGTCGCTGCAGCTGCAGCAGCTAAAGCTGCCATGCCACTCATCTGAGGACTACTTCCAATTGGCTGAAAATGGAAAAGTAAAGCGGTGTTGGATACATATCTGATGACAATATAAAAACACTTCACACCGACGCTTAGGGTTGGACTATATTGGCAAAAAWWWTTTTATCACAATTAATTGTGGTATTCAGCCGATAATTTGAGGATTAATCCCCTGGAGTCCCTGGACACCCTTATGTCCTAGTCACATGACCAATTTAGTGAGAAAGATTTGCTCYTCATAAAAATCTGTTCCAAACTGTGTCAAAATTACAGACTTCAGGCTATACATCAAATTTTAAAAAGGGACAAATATGCAAAATTCACTTTTTTCAGTTGCTTTTACTTACATTTGGGTCTGTACTGCTTCTAAAAACGGTCCAAGCACCAAAAAAAATGCACTCAGAGGAATTTTTACTATAAGTAAATGTATTTCTCTGTGTCTTGAAATGACCTGTTTTCAAACACCGCTACTTGTGATGTCACATGTCTCACTCCAGCCCACCCCAACCTGAGCCCAGCTCGTCTCCTGGTAACCCAAGCAGAGACTCCGCCCACTTCTCCACAGGACGGTTCTGCTGTTTTACAACAGTCATGGAGAACAGAGATGTGTGGATTAATTTTATTTTTGATGGCAATGTTCTAGCATTGTTAAAGAAAGTTTGTGTAAATAATTTCACCATGAACTACTTTGGAAAAATAGTACTTTCAGCTTAAAAGAAACCAAAAGTAAACTTCTGGCGGGGGGGCGGGGGGGGGAACAGAGCTAACGTAAACAACAGGTTGGGAGGGGGTTTCTATCTACTTATGCAAAGCAGCAGGTTTAGAAGAGAGCTGAAGAACAGGTAGAACTGAAAAGGTGAAATTTCATTATCTGCAGATGGATCCTAACTTGTTCTATGAYCCCCATATTAGGTCTCCTTTAAATTGTTTTTATAGACAAATAATTTAATTTTTTTTWAATGTTTGTCGTATTTAAAGCGGAGAGGAGCTCAGTCTGCCACGTGGCATTAATCGTATTAATCGTCAAGTGCCAAAAAATAATCGATTCATATTTTTCCTGACGATTAATTGCACACAATACGGTTATGCCCAACTCTACCGACGCTTTATCGTGATTACGTGTTGTGTGAGAACGCTCGTACCGATCCCTGGGTGTTTTGGGTAGGCACAACCATCCGAACACCTGGAGGAAGAGAGGTCACAGTGACGGGGGATTTCCCGGGCTGGCTGGGACGAACTGTGACAACAGATGCACCGGTGGCTGATTGTTGAGCTGCAACCTTTAAAACAGCTGCAAACATAACAAATCAAAACAATCAAGACTTTGTACTTTTAAAAACGAGGCCAAACATTCATTCATTAGAATACCTGTCTGTGGTAAACTCTGAGCAGAGGGTGCTGCAGCAGCAGGAGCAGGACTCTTTGGAGAGTTAATGGGCTGTGATGGGGTTGCGCTCGTGGCTGGGGAGGCTGCTGCTGGGGTTGCAGGAATGTCGTACTTCTGCAGCTGCAGCAAGTATGTGTCAGCCGTAGAAACTGCACCCCAGCTCACTTCCAGGGAGTTTGTGTTGGCACGGACTAGCTGTACCCTGGCAGGAGAGTGTGGCCGCTCTGAGGGATAAACAAAGGCAACATTAAAAACACTTTTAGGCTACTTAAACCTTTACTGTCACTCATGTAACAGAGGACACACCTGTTTCCAGGTACCAAAGGTCTTTACAACAGACTTGGTTATTCCATGCTTTACGATAACCGTCACGGCCACTCCATACATAGAGTCTGGAGTTGATGGCCACGGCACAGTGGCCAGCGCGGGCCCTGGGGATGTTGTCTTCGAGAGTATCCATCAACACTGTTTCCCAATACATGGAGTCTTAAAAAAAAACAGAACATAAAAGGTTAACATCGGAACAGACTGTTTGATCTTTTCCACTACAAAATCTGATGACAAACCAAGATTCAGGCACGCAAGAGTGTTTGTGCATTTCCACTCTTTCTCGTGTGTTGCCACTTTAACATCATCCATCACCAAAGGAACCCATCCTCCGAAAACATACATCCTGCAATGAGAGACGGGGGAAAGATATCAGTTAAAAATGCTGCAAAGCAAAATTTCAAATTTTTTATCACAGGTACTTATTTATTCATGTATAATACGACCATCATTTTTTGAGCTTAAAAAGCATTAAAAATCTAACCCCCCCCAAATGGATGATTTTTAGGGGTAAATTTCTAGTATTATACATGAATAAATACAGTATATTAACTGAGTGCATCTGAGGTCTTCTCACTTGTTTGTGATTGTAGTGGCAGAGTGAAGACTTCGTGGAAGTGGTGCTGTGCCCCCTACTGTTGGTTTGTTCCATGTCAGGGTATCTGAGGTTAAAAAACAAAAATCCAATGAAATCCAACACCTCACACCTGGTTTGGATTGTGTTTAAACAACTCATCTTGTCAATAACAGTCTTGGTGGTCGTTTACACAGTAAACCTACCAATATCGAGTGTCCATAGATCCCCGAGACGACAACCACTCATTCCTCCATAGATTATCAAACGAGATTTCCTGGATGTCTTCTCTGTGTACACCACAGCGGTGTGACTCTCACGAGGAGGTGGGAGAACTCCATATGTGATCGGAATATCCCATCCAACCACGCTGGAACCCGGACGAAGCTCGAGCGTGTACAAATCATTCAGGTATCTGAGAAATAACACAAAGAGTCGCACTAACGTAGCTGACGCAGCAAGAGCCTCAGCGTCTGAGGACYGTGCAGGCATAAAAAACATCCCTACCTGGGAATGTTGTTTTTTGGATCTTCGCTGTCATTGGCCAGTCCACCAAACAGGTAGCATTTGTTACCAACCAGTGAGAAGCTGTGACCGAGACGAGGACAAGGAGGGGGGCCATTTTTGGGATTTTTTGCTTTCAGTTTTTTCCATTCCCATCTGCTGGCCTGGTACAGAGACCATATTAAAAGAAGTGATTAGATTAAAGCAGAATCTAACAGCAACAAGAGTCTTTGCATCAAAACAGTGAAGTCTAGCCCCACTCTTCTGTGTAGTATTTATTTTGTGCCCTTTGCCTGTGTGTACAACTTCGTCTCAGATGTCAGTATTTATTTTGTAAACAGATCAAACTTTGTACAAAAACTCTCACCCTTCAAGTTCAGCCAATCAGGTGAAAGAAAAACTAAATAGCATTATTAGCTGTTGACTGCACTACCATTATTTGCTTTTTAGAAATATTTAATTTGTAACACTTAATGACAAACTTGCCACTCATTTAGCATGCTCACATGTGATGCTAAAATTACAGTGTTTCTATGGAGCTGAACAATTCTTCTAATATTATATCAACTATGAATAGAGATGCACTGATTGCTCAGCATGTACAGGTATTAGACTTCAGCAGTGAAGAACTGATCAGGCATTTAAATTGGCTTAACCTCTGTGCAATAATCTTGAGCGCAGATTTTCAGTCACAGTAACATGTCAATTCTTTTGTTTAGCAAAAACTAATATAAAATTCATTACCAACAGGTCAGTTTTCAAAAAATCTGTTAGCAGTAATATGTTCTCTTACCACTACAGAAAAATACCCAATGCAGTCAGGCTAGATAAACATCATTAGCCATAATAGTGCACAAAAAAACAGCTTTGACTAATCTTATAGAACAAAACATTTATTACAAACAGTATCAAACCCACTTCTATTTCACTTATCATAGAATACCTTATTCTGAAACTGTCTCTTTTAAGTAATGGGCATGTTTGTGTAGGTTTTAAGCCATCCGAGACAAAGCAAATTGTAAATGTTTACAAAACAAGGCAGCTGGGCTTCTTTCCATTGAAGAGGCTTCTCAAATGCAAAGTCTTCACAAAACAGAAAGTCTAGTTGGCTAATTTTAAAACTCTTAGTAGTCGTTAAGACAATACTATAGCTTGCTAATAATGTGCAAATTTGATGTTTACATTTGCAATAATATTTCACAACAAGGTTACCTGTAGTTCATAGAGATCGTTGCTGTATTTTCCATATTCCACCATTCCACCAAATACCAGCAACCTTGTTCCATCGCACACAAAACCATAGGCAGCACAACCAGGGGGAATATCACCACGGACCGCTGGGATAAACCACTGGTTTGTTGCTAAAAGTCAAAAATAAAACAAAGCTGCTGATTAATTTCCCACACGATCATAACAAATGTTCAACCTAAACAACGCTCCAATATCTGCATATTAGTAGCCATGAAAAATGATTTGTACAGTTCAGTTTTGATCATTAATAAAAGAGAGAAACAGATAACTTAAGCAGAGTTATTCTCCCTGAGGTTATGAACAGGAAACAGGCAGGGGGTGTGTGTTCAAACCAACAATCATCATCCATTTTATTTTAGCCCGCCTTTTTTAAACGTGTAACCAAACGCTGCACCAGCAGAGGGCGACAAATGTAACCAGACTCAGGTTTGTTTGGCCTACTTAGGCCTGCACAGCATTTAACTACAAATTACATTTCTATTACCCTTACGTGTTCTTAAAAAAATGCTGCACGTACTTTTTGAATAGTTTTTGTGAACATGTGAAAATATACTGACTTTCAACACTTTGGCGGCTGCAAGAGAAAAAAAAAAAAAACAACAGGCCATGCCCCACATGCCAGCTAACTTACCTGTGTTGTATACATGTAGCTCATCAACTATTCCTTCGTTTCCACCGCCAAAAACGACCATAAGCTCCTTTATGGCCACAGCTCTGTGTCCATGTCTTGGCCGGGGAACCGGACCGGACCACCCGAGGACCCTTTTCCATCGCGGCTGCAGAACCGACGCAGTGGTCCCGGTCACTGCGGAGCCAGGGGCAGACATGACTTCTGCCGGGTTGGAACACATAAAAAAATGAACATTTTAATCCCCTAAAGTTGTCGCACCACTTTTAATAACATTACTCTAATAAACGCGACAGCGGGATGGATCCAAGCGGAGCACCAAAAACACTTCAGCTGTTTTTGCGCTCAGAGCAGCGGCAGAGCTAAAGACATGCTAGCGACAAGCTTCAGTTTGAAAGATGTACTCAACCCGAAACAAGCGACGTGCAGCACCTTCCGAACCACGTCTATTTATATTTCTTCGTGAATGTTTGCAGGCATCCCGAGAAATGCATTATTCTTTCCCCTTTTCATTACGACGATCATCCAAGTTTCCTCCAAGTCAGTCCCTGGAAGCAGCCATCTCGCAACCAAACAAACCGCCGCTAAAGCTACAAGCCCGTCTGAAAAATGGCGGAAGCGAATTAAAAGGCTAAATACATAGGAACAAACCCACCGCACCGGCAAAGAAAAACAACACAATAACAAAAAACACCACGGGTTAAACGTTGACCAGGGAAGCAGGAGGACACGCATCTGCAACAACATTTCAACCTAAACTTTGAATARTTAGCGAGAGTCGGCTATTTTCATGCTTCTCGTATTGTAGCTAGCCAGATTAGCATTTTTGCTACCGATTTAACGCACTTAGAAATACTTAAAAAGTGACACAAAGCTTACAGAAACACACACATTATGCTATAAAACGTATTCCTCAAATCCCATCGAATTAATTGTCCAAATAAACAAACTATGTTTAGGCTGGAGTTGTAGCATCAAAATAAACTATTAGCTACGCTAGCTCCCACGGTTAGCCGCTTAGCCTAATTTATCTGTGCTAACAGCGTTAGCGTTGTAGCTCGCATCTGTCAAAGCGTCGCCAGATTTCACAATTAAATCCCACCTAACTTCAAGTAATTCTCGCGTGCATAATTTACCTGACACAAAATTAGTTGCGCCAAGGGCATTAAAACGTAGCTAAATGCAGTTAAAGAGCACAAACGCTGTGTTACTCTGTTTCATGCCGTCTCTGGAAGCAGCCATCTTTTCGACAATCGGCCTTTCAGCAGCTCCCACAAGAAAAATGGCCGGGCGGTTTGCGACAACAAAAACACAACAAACCGGAAAAAGGCACGAAGAAATCCAAGTTTTACTCACTTTATCCGATGCGGTAGATGCAAAAACACGGTTGTGTGCTCTTATCTTGTGTCAGTAATTCAAATTCATTCGGTTTGTAGAGAAGTATTTGCTCTCATGCCTGCCTGGAAGCTGCCATCTTCTTGACAACCAGAGGCGGAGGAAAATGGAAGAGAGTCACCCAAAGTAAACATGGCGACGCCGACCCGCTCGGTAAAAAATATCAGACTCTAACGCGCACACCGGGATTTTTATTTGACATTCTAAGTTGGTGAATAGTTTTATGCAAGCTGACACACTTTAATGAGCACTTAAAATCCGAATAATGTCAATCTTTGGCGCATTTTACCAAATTATTTCAAGTTTTGTTGCAGCGGGAGGGTTATTGTCCCTTACTAAAGATGGCGACATCCGTACCGAAAACCCCTTTTTATTTTTTACATTTTGAGTGACGCTTTATTTTATTCATCTCCACACCTACTTCATGACATCCGTGCATTCACAAAGGTGCTGAACGCGAAGAGCTAAACAATTAGCAGAAGTAGCGTTTTTATCATTTAAAGTTGACACACCCACGTATGCCGTTTGCGCGCCCTCCASACACACACGCACGCACGCACGCACGCCTCCTGCAAAACATTAAAAAAAACACTGATAGGCCCTGCTTCTGTTTGGCTGCTCACTCACTTTAGCTGAGCAGATAAAATGAAAACAGACCCATAACGGATGTATAGTATATTTAATAAATTAATTGCTACATATTATATTGTTTCAAATAAAATAAATAGTTTCAATGTAGGAGTTTAGTTTAAAAAAAATTGACGTAAACAAAATAACTATTGATTCATACCAGTTTTACACTTGGATCATCTATGAGAAATGATTTAGTTGGTTTGATCGAACCTTGAAAATAACGTCCTGATGCATCTCAGTAATCCAGGTAAAACATCAAAAAGAAAAAAATTGTATAGGTCTTCTGGACGGGTTCTTCTTTAATGAAACGTTCCGTCTCTCCTCCAAGAGACTTCTTCAGTCTGAGAGTTTCAGGCAAAATTCAGGCTTTTAAGCCCTGCCTCCATGTGACTGATACATCACATGGCT